GTCATCCAGCCAGCTTCAGCTCTGCCCACATAAGCCTGTTTTATCTCAGGATTTCTGTAATCAACTTTGACAGTAGTGACATTTGTTTTTGATTGTCAGGCACTAATGTATCTGGTGAGTAAACATTTGTCATTCATCCAACTTCAGCTCAATGTGAACCACTGTAAACATTTACTTAGTGCTTTGTTTTAAATTTCAGAAAAACCCAAATCCTGGTAATCCTTGCTGTCGGCCCCTGTGCATTGAACTAAAGTCGCCCTCTCACTGAAAGGTTTGACAGCCCTGTTTTAAATGATCAGATATTGTTAATTTCACAGAAAACACTTCAGTTCCAGCACAGGTTCAACATTAAAAACGCAAGTGGATCCCTCCTGGATGAAGAAGAGACTCATGTACTTGTGGTAACCCTTTCATGACACAGCTCTACATCATTGGATATCAATACCAACGTCTCGCCCAGGAGAGCCCAGAGCAGCGCCTGGGGGCCAAATTTAGCCTTCCATGTGGTCTGAGCGGGTCTGTGAAGGATGGCTGGGAATTTAAAAAAGTCTTTTTGGAATAATTTTTCACGGAGAAGACTCAAAAACCACAATTAGAGGTATTTGGGAGGATTTTCTTCTAATTGTCAATCATTTTGGTGAAAGCCGTTCCTTTCCTAAAATGTGGGAAAAGCCTCATATATGTTCAATAAAGAGAAGTTTGCTCTAAATGTCAGTAATAACAAATGTTAAATGCTGAACACGAAGAGGTCTGGCCCTCAGCCCGTGGATACATATTCCTGTTGTCTCACAGACGATAAAAGGTTTGGCAACTCTGCTCGAGATAAATGCTTCTAAGAAATCCTCTTTGAATTCTTGAATCATGTCCAAATCTCACAAGTGCTTTTGACTTCCTCTTAAGGATTTCATTCAGGCCAAGAAAAAAAGAGCTGATTTTCAGTTGCATCAACACAAAAACCGGTCCCAAAAATTAGTCTAGTCTTAACCTGAAAACTTGAGGAAATGGGAGGAGTCTAGTCTGCTCCTGCTCGGTTGGAATGAAAACCTGCAGCCACACTGGCCCTTTGAGGACGTGTCTGACAGCCCTGGTCTCATCTGTTCCTAATTCAATTTAAGAACTATTGGCTGTTTCTCCATCTGGACTGGGCCTTACTTTCACATCAAACCAGCAGTTCAGCAGCATAAAACCCTGCGTCGGAGAATATGAACCCATTCTGGTGACATCCCCGATAACACCACGGTCATCTTTCCTATAATTTACTGTTGGCTCACTGAGATTTATGTGCAGGTCTTCCACTGCATGATTGCTACGGTGTGATGTACCTCTGCTTGTTGCCCCCTTAAGGGAATAGAGGTCCAGAGAGAAGGACGGTGTGAGCTATTTATGTGCAGTTCACAGAATACAGAAGCTTTGTCCTCTTGGTGCAAAGCAGATTAAAAAGACCTTGGATTCTTTGACACGCAACAAAAACATAATATTCTATTATTGTTCCAAATCTCAAATGTTTCGGTCCATTACGTGGAGGAATAAAATCTATATCATAGTTTGGTTTGTACTTTTTCTCGCAGGCATGTCACACATTCTCTGCCCCGACAGTTCGTTTTAGTTTTAACCATGATGCATTCTGTTTTGAAGGGCAAACATCTTTTTTAAGTATTCTAACAAAATGTGAAGGAATTCGAGGGTCAGTGGTCACAATGGTACGGTAAGAATGTCATCAAACTGACACAGCTGTGCAAATATTTGTGGAAACAGAGCAAGGTCCCTGTAGTTAAATAGTTTTTGTCTCAGTCTAATATTCAGTCTCTATGATCTCGGTATGAACAGGAACAAGTTCAATACATCTAGACCACAGGTGTCAAACTCAAGCCAGATCCGGCCCGCGAGACAATTTCCAGGGGCCCTTGAGATTATTATAAATTATTATATTAAATAGCAGCATAAATGGTAAAAGGCGGCAATGGCATGTTATCCATTACTAAGAAAACAACCTTAACATTTAATTCCATAAGAAATAAAGGATTTCCCAATTTTCTTTGGAAAGAACCGCCCTCTCCACTTTTTGAACAAAACCGTCTGGTCTTGTTTGACGAGCACAAATCACCAGAATGATTGACAACTGGGAGGAGCAATAGCCTTAATGATCCACCCAAAAGTATAAAATCTTCCTACCTTCAATATTTGGTCCAGTTTTGGTTCAGTTTTGGTTCAGTCCACGGGAACTGAACTCATTCTAATCAGAAAAGAATGTCCAATTCAACTAATGTGAAACAAGCCATTTATTTAGATACCTTCATTTTCCCAAAAACCTTTAATAAATAAAACCCACTTATTCTTTCGGCCCCTGACCAGCTCTTTTTTTTTTTCGGCCCTCAACCAAAATAAGTTTGTCACCCCTGATCTAGACTGTCTGTCTTTCAAAGGAACAAAAAAAAAAAGCATTTTAACCTAAGACAAAATGAAACTTTTCGAATCAGGAACATTTCCATTTGTTATACTTAGAGTCATAGAACCACAGAGTCACAGAGTCATAGAACCACAGAGTCATAGAACCACAGAGTCATAGAGTCATAGAACCACAGAGTCACAGAGTCATAGAAGCACAGAGTCATAGAGTCATAGAACCACAGAGTCACAGAGTCATAGAAGCACAGAGTCATAGAGTCATAGAGTCACAGAGTCATAGAATCACAGAGTCATAGAACCACAGAGTCATAGAATCACAGAGTCATAGAAGCACAGAGTCATAGAAGCACAGAGTCATAGTCATAGAATCACAGAGTCATAGAATCACAGAGTCATAGAGTCACAGAGTCATAGAATCACAGAGTCATAGAAGCACAGAGTCATAGAGCCACAGAGTCATAGAACCACAGAGTCATAGAATCACAGAGTCATAGAACCACAGAGTCACAGAAGCACAGAGTCATAGAGTCATAGAATCACAGAGTCATAGAACCACAGAGTCACAGAATCACAGAGTCAGAATCACAGAGTCATAACAAGACACTGCGTCTCCTTTAAACAAACCTAGCGTTCAGAAACAAACTTCAAATTGCTTCTAAAGTTATTTTTGGCAGGTGGAGGTGAAAGATGATCCAAACCCAGAGGCGGTGATGGGCTTGAGTAGAATCGAATGCTTTTTGCCGATGAGGAGAGGGATAGAAAATAGAAGGTGCTGTAATTGCCGGGGCGTGATGGTTCAGGTGCTGAGGCGGTGACCGAACCGAAAAAGTTCCATTTAGAGAAGAAGCAAAAGGATAGCAGAGGCATCAGAGGGAATTTTTTTGGCAGCTGGGAGATTATTGGCCGAGGATGTAGTTTGAGACAAGGGAAGAAGGGACCTTTAAGTGGTGTGTCAGAGAAGAGAGATGAGAATGGATAAGTGTTGGAATGGAGCTCCAGGATTTGGTCCAAGTATTGGGGAAACTGAAACTGTTCAAGTGATACATCATTAAACAATCCTTTTACTCTGGTTTCTGACAAGGAAATGCCAGAAATGCAAAAAAAGAAAAAATATTATTGCTACATTTAAGAGTCTATTACACTAAACTTCATCCGTATTAAATGCAGTGCCGTTCTCAACTAGTTTGCAAAGTTTTCACTGAAGAGGTCTAAAAACCTTTTCTGGTTACATTCACGAGACATTAATACAACATGAGAAACAGTGATTGCAGTTTTTTTTTTTATTACAAATTGAAAATCAGTGGGAAGCTGCGGTTCACAAGCACTGGCCATCTAAGCTCCGGTATGATGAGACGAATAGGCAAAACCGTCGGTCTCTAGATGTGCAAAGCTTGTAGAGTCACACCACAAAAGAGTTGCTGCTTGTATCGCCACGAAAGGGGATACCACAAATGAATGACTATGTTGTATGAAACGTTAATTTGCAAAACACTGTGGTAAGCTTTAGATGGAGTTGAGCCTCATACAAGACAACAGACATGTGAGCGACTGTAATTCAATTCAATTCAATGTATTCTTGTATCGCCCTAAATCACAATAGTATTTATCTCAGAGGACTTTACAAAACAGTTAAAATCGCCAACACAGATCAGAGAATCACACAGTTCAATCACAAAGAATAGAGAACACATGGTATTGGTCCGTAGGGAGTTGACCAATGTCCATACATGTTGTTGAATGTAGAGTGTCCTGGATCATCACCACAGTCCTTTCAGTTAGACCCACTAAGAGTCCAACAGACCCTCCTCCTAAAACCCAGTGGGAAAAAGGGAGAAACCTCGGGGAGATCCACATTGAAAGAGGGATTCGGACGAGCTGTAGATCCAGGACTCAAGCTACAGAACACGGCGCAGGACTCAAATTGTAGAGTGAGGACGGAACAAACATTTCAAACTATTGGGGAGACAGAAAACCGCCACCTCCGTGCTCTGAGGCTCTGTCTGGCGTTTACATGTTTCTTATTTCTTGTCTAGAAGGGTTTTCTCTGTGGACTTCAGTTTCCCCGAGCACCCAAAACACGCAACATAGGAATAAGCCGAGACCTGACTGACATCAGGAGAGGGTTCCCAGGAAGATGCAGTCGCCTGGCAAATTTCTCTAGTGGCCTTGGAAGGATGGGTCAAATGCAGAGGACAAATATCATGAAGGGGAAAGGGGGAGAGGGGCAACTACAGCCATTGGTTGGAGATCGACTAGGCTGGGAAATTTTTTTTTTCTGCAAAATACAATTTAAGTTCAGATTGTTTATTTTAGCTCCTTGCAACACATACAGTTGATCAAACAAACTGACAAAATCATTACATTCAATGTATGTTCTAAGTCAGAGTAATACATGTACTTTTTGGGTATTTTATGGGATTTCTTGTTAACTTAAGTGTTCTTTTTTCCATTTGTCAAAAGCTGAAATATTTATTCTAACATCATTTTGGCTTCTCCTCCTCCGTGTGCCCATGACCATTATAACCCATTCCATCTCGTGTGTCTGTTTCTGTCTGCTCCGGCTCTTTCACACGGGAGGCGATGATACGGAGAAGATGCTATTCGAGCTAATGAGGGACAAGTTTGTGTCAGGAGTTGACTTTGATTTCCCCCGGCAGCGCGATGAGGAGAGACAGCCCGGTCCAGAGACAGCCCGGTCCAGAGACAGCCCGGTCCAGAGTCAGTCCAGAGTCAGCCCAGAGTCAGCCCAGAGTCAGCCCAGAGACAGCCCAGAGTCAGCCCAGAGACAGCCCAGAGTCAGTCCAGAGTCAGCCCAGAGTCAGCCCAGAGTCAGTCCAGAGTCAGTCCAGAGTCAGCCCAGAGACAGCCCAGAGTCAGTCCAGAGTCAGCCCAGAGTCAGCCCAGAGACAGCCCAGAGTCAGTCCAGAGTCAGCCCAGAGTCAGCCCAGAGACAGCCCAGAGTCAGTCCAGAGTCAGCCCAGAGTCAGCCCAGAGTCAGCCCAGAGTCAGCCCAGAGTCAGCCCAGAGTCAGCCCAGAGCCAGTCCAGAAACAGCCCAGAGACAGCCCAGACTCAGCCCGGCACACGCACAGGGCTGTCGGCTGCCATGAGTGGTTGGATCGTGGGATGAGTGAGGCTGAGTGGGAGACGCAGAGACGCACACTTATGCCGCTGGCTGGTTGCCTTCGGGGTCTCTCCGACGCTCGCCCTCGGCAAAGGAAATCTGAGGAGTTTGGCATCACGTCAGCGCTGAGGAGATAGCACTAATGACATCATGCTGTAGTATCGGGACTCACTTTAACAGGATGAGTGAGACACAAGGCTGCATCCAAATTCACAAAATACACCTCGTTCCTTATTCCAGTTTGTTTCATAAAAAGTCCATCGTAAACCACATAGAAGCTTGTGGTGGGGGGGGAAATATAGCGATATCTTAAATTAAATCGATACAGTAGAGCAAAGTATTGTGATATTATGAATAATTATCTGTTTTCTCGCAAAATATTGAAGAAATATAAGAAGGAGAAGGAGAAGAAGAAGGAGAAAGAGAAAGAGAAGAAGGAGAAGAACAATTTGTCCCATATCATGCAGCGTACATTACTTACACACCACTCTCCTTATAGGCAAAGTGGGAAAAGTGTCTTGCCCAAGGACACAACCCCAGCAGACATCAGTGGGAGTCGGTGGAAAAGGCCTCGTGGTGAGATCTCCAGTGTGTCTCGGGTCTCACACTTTCGGACATACAGTCGGTCACTACAGGAACAACAAGACTAAACATTAGAATCATTTGCAGAAGCTCATTAGTTGTAGAATAAAGCAGAGGTGTTTTTAGGCCTCCAGGTGAATCAATCATGTGTCTTCAGTCCGTCATTGACTCTCTGAGCTGTCTCTTTGACAAAGTGCCGAGGGACAGTTAATGAAGCGAACGTCCTCAAACGTGGCTCAGAGAAGCAGCCAAAAAGGAGAAGAAACAGCGCGCTTCATTTCCCCATCCTCGGCTAATAGATTTTGATAAAAACATCTTTGCGTCTGCTCCGTCTGCCTCATGCACCTGACCTGATTAGTCATATTGAATAATCTCGCCACAACAAAGCATCATCAACCACAAAGGGCAGCTAATCCGTCATCATTTATTACTGCGTCAAGAAGCTACACTATATAACTGCTCTGTTCTCTGCTAAGTGCAGCTTTAAGGACGGACAGAAGTCAAAATGTACAATAACCAGAAGGACGTCAGGGCTTTGGTCCATTCTATTTTCAAGATGCACAGAATTAATATGAAAGATAGTGAAGACAATATCAATGTTTTCCAGGGAGGTAATCCTGCAACAGTAGATTGTGATTTCAATTATGATCCAGCTTCATCATTTATCCAAAAGATGACATGTTTTGTAGGGCTGTAATTAACGATTATTATTGGCAGATAAATAAGTTGTGGCGATTGTTATTTTCATTAATCGATTAGTTGTTTGATCCAAAACAAACCAATGTTACTCGAGAACATTGCAATACTGACTAGGTATTTATCAATTTTATTTATTTATTGTTTATTAGGTTGGGACAGTACATGTTAATGAACACGCCACTCCAGAGGTATCACACAATTGCTTGTTTCCTTTTAAAATACTTACTCTCTCTTTGGTCTCTCTATCTGGTTTCTATCTGTGGCTGTGGCTGCCTTCAGGGAGGAGGCTGCGCTCGGTGGGATGTAGGACACAGAGGAGAAGGTCCACTTTTGTTCCAACAGTGATTCAGCTGCTGAACTCAGACCAGTCATTCCCCAGCGCAGTGTTAAAACGCTCCTAACATGAACTTATACAGGATGTGTGTGTGAATGTATTTATGTGTTTTTTATTGATGTTTTTAAGCATTTAACTTGCAACTCTCCGTGCTTTTTAATTGCCCCTCGGGGATAAATAAAGTGATTGATTGATTGATTGATTGATTGATCTGGTCTCTCTCTAGTCTCTGTCTGGTCTCTCTCTCTAGTTTCTCTCTGGTCTCTCTCTCTGTTCTCTCTCTCTAGTCTCTCTCTAGTTTCTCTCTGGTCTCTCTCTATTCTCTCTCTCTGGTCTCTCTCTATTCTCTCTCTCTGGTCTCTCTCTAGTCTCTCTCTCTGTTCTCTCTCTCTGGTCTCTCTCTCTAGTTTCTCTCTGGTCTCTCTCTATTCTCTCTCTCTGGTCTCTCCCTAGTTTCTCTCTGGTCTCTCTCTCTAGTTTCTCTCTGGTTTCTCTCTGGTCTCTCTCCGGTCTCTCTCTGGTCTCTCTCCGGTCTCTCTCTAGTCTTTCTATGGTCTCTCTCTGGTCCCTGGTCCACATAAACACCGACTAGGGGCTGAAAAGAATGATTAGCGGTGAAATGGGGATGCAAACCCATCCTTGAATTGGTACAAACATCTCCCCAAGTACCATCAAATTATTCCATGCCTCATAATGTGTTATAATTGTCTCATTTCTCCAACGTAGATCATTCTGCATTTCAAAACAAGATTCAAGAATCAATTTATGTGCCATTTGCAGAGTAAACCACATTGGAAAACCTGAGCATGTCTACCCCAGTGAACCAATAAGTAACCACGGTCTGCAGAGCTGTGCAAAGCATGCTGGGTGGATGACTGGGGGTATTTTTACATGTATATATATATATATATATTAGCTCTGAAGCACTGGGCAAACCGTGTCGTGGGCATTAAAGTCCACGGCTCCAAAGACACTTATCTGCCTCTACATATGCCTTCTAACATTAGCGAGAGATTAGTGGCTGCTTGAATCCTTGTTGAAGCGCGCAGCGGGGCCAGAATGCAAATGTATAACAGACACATATTGTACGTTTGCAACTTTCCGTCCAAGGTCAACAACTCTCTCTGTCCCTGTGTGTGTGTATTGGAGCGCTGCAGTGTGCTGTGATGTGTTTACCTGCAGAGAGAAGCAGAGTACGAGCGGCAGAACTGTGTCCGTCGCGTCCTATTTGGAGAAGCGTCGGAGCAGATGATCCGGCACGAGCGTGATGTATGACGGGGCACTACTCCCTCAGGTGGACGGTCGCGCCCTCTGGCAGAAACTCAACCGTTGCTATAAGGTCAGGCCAAGTTCAAGGCAAGTGCAGCGGCTTGAACTGTGCTCTCTGATTGGACTTGGATGCTGTTAGAGATTGAGAGTTTCATTGGCCAAAGCACAGATTTCAAAGGCAGGTTATTTGTTATCTATTTTTTAACAGGTTCGTGTTTGTTGGGATGCCCCGTCTCCATGGCGGGGACCCAATCTCCTGGCTGAACCCCCGACCAATTGGGTTGAAATCTGGGTGACATCACATTTGATGGGGGGAACGCTCAGTGTTAAGGGCTCTTGGCCTTTTCCTGCCATGTAGCTGCAAACCAATTCTGAACTCAAGCCAAAGTATTGCAGAACACATCCATTTTCAATCATTGTTTGGGCAATGTTTGAATTCCATTTTAAAGTGTTGCCTACCTCGGTGCTCGGGCATACAGTACTTCATTCAGTCACCTTAAATTACACACTAAACTCTCTCCATAGGGGTTGGTGCATTGAAAATCTCACTGTATAACTGTGGCATAAAATACAAAAGAACGGCAGAATGGAGCAGCTCCTCTTCATTCAGCTTCTACAGGGGGATCCCGAGGCGTTTCCGGGCCCTTCAGCGTGTTTTGGTCTTCCCTGGGGCCTCCTCCTGGTGGGACATGACCAGGACATCTCTTTTGGGGTTTATTTTTATCTACAGTTATGCTTGAACATTTACACACCCACAAAGAAATGCCTAAAATACTAGTCTCTCTGGTCTCTCTATGGTCTCTCTTTCTTTGGTCTCTCTCTCTCTGGTCTCTTGCTGGTCTCTTTCTCTGGTCCCTCTCTTTCTAGTCTCTCTCTCTGGTCTCTTGCTGGTCTCTTTCTCTGGTCTCTCTCTCTCTAGTCTCTCTCTCTGGTCTCTTGCTGGTCTCTCTCTGGTTTGTCTCTCTATCTCTCTCTCTCTCTCTCAGGTCTCTCTCTGGTCTCTCGATGGTCTCTCTCTCTGGTCTCCCTCTGGTCTCTCCCTCTGGTCTCTCTCTCTGTTCTCTCTCTCTAGTCTCTCTCTCTGGTCTCTCTCTGGCCTTTATTAAAAATCACAAACTACTACCTTGGTAACACACCGCTCTAATCAAACAACAAACTAAAACATCTCCTTCCTCACACCTTCTCTCTCCTGTGAGTCACGAGGACGGCTCACTCAGCATTCTGCGAGTGTCGCATCGGTCCAACTGGCAGCCGTCCGTGGCTCATTGAAAGGTGCTTGGCGTTGCGATAAGCGTTGGCGCTCACCTGCATTAGCATGTTCCCCGGCTATAGCCATGGCCGCCATCTTCTCTGAGGTCCGCAGCGGCGCGAGGACCCCCCAGGCGGTCTCACCGTTATCTGTGCCAAGCCAGACTCTGACGCCGCGCCCGGGAACGAGCGCGCAGAGGGAAACGTGATAGCCCTCTTGCCATTTGCACACCTTCTCTATGAATAAAACATTAATAACACAGAACAGGCTTAACAAGAATTATGAGTGGGACTATGCAATTACCTGGGTATCAATAGCCCTCGAGTTGGCGGATGTTTTCCCGGTTTAATCCGACTGCGGCCTCCGGTTTTGCAACTGCTCGTTAATGATGTGTGTGTTTCGAAGAGGCGTTGGATTTTGCGGGAAAATAAATAAGTTTTCAATCTCATTTCTCGCTTTCCTGTTCCAGAGATAAACAGCTTACCATTGGCACAACTTTGCACGGTTAAACAAGCGCCAAGTCGTCCATTTCCCCCTCAGTTTCTCAGTTTTTTCTTAACGTGTCCAATTTGAGGAGTGAATGGGGGGAGTCTTGCTTGGCGATCGTAAAAGACGGACAATTAAACTCATATCTGAAGAAACAGGCCTTCGCCGAGCGCGGCTTTTAGCTCCAATTACTCCAAGATCGTCTTTTCATTTCTCTTTCAAATGAGGCGTTGTTGTGAAGTGAGCCATTGAGATACGGGGATAAAGAGGTGCTTTGTTGAGGGAAGTGTGTATCTACGCGCTGTCGTAGGTCTTCTCTTTTTAATTGGCCATGGAAAGGCTGTTAAAGTATCGTTTATTAAAAAGAAACAGGAAATGATTAAGTTACCTCAAAGGACTGGTCTCGATCAAAGCTGGGGGACCTTAATTGCGAACTATAAAAACATCTATTATGTCAAAATGAATGTAGCCGATTCCCATGTGTCTGTGTGTATTCTGGTCAGCTCAGGCCAATGCCATCTACAAAAAAGGTCAGAGCAGACTTTTCTTTCTGAGTAGACTGAGGTCCTTTGATGTGAGCAGTCAAATGTTGCACATCTTTTACCAGTCTGTGGTAGCTAGTGCTGTGTTCTTTGGGGTTGCGTGTTGGGGGCAGTCTGACCTCAAGAGACAGTAACCGGATTGACAGGCTGATCAAGAAGTGTGTCTCTGTGATGGGGAGAAGTGTGGACTCTGTGGAAGCTGTGCTGGAGAGAAGGATGAGGGCTCTAATGCAGGGCATCCTGGGTAACTCCAGACACTCTCTGCATGACACTATGGCCACTCAGAGAAGTCATCGCAGCAACAGGCTCCTATCACTACGCTGCCGAACGGAACGTTTCAAAAGATCCTTTGTTCCTTCGGCTGTCAGACTGTATAACAAACCACAAACCTGACAAACTGTACTACAACAAGAAACGAGTCTTCTGCTGCTGGACACCTGAATTTCTCCTATGGGGGATCAATAAAGTATTTATCTATCTATCTATCTATTCATTGCATTAAATGGTGCTAATCTGTCAAAAGGCCTTAATAAAACATGCTCTTTTCCAATACTTTGTTAACTGATGTCATTCAAGGATTTTCGATATACTAAATTACTTTTCCAGCCCCTAAATCTTGTTGCTGTTTTCATTTTGATGTCCCGCCCTCCACCGTTTCACCAATCAGATAGTCCGTGATCCGGGTTGCCAGAACTCACCACATGGAGCTAATCTCACTGGTAAAGTACCATGTGGCGCAGAACTAAAAAAGGTCTCGTTATGATTCTCAAATCATTAACGACAAAACAAGGAATAAAACCAGGATTTCTATCTTTGTGAAAAAGGTGTTGGTTATAGATTTGTTGTTGACAAAACTCTTGTCTATTCAGCTTTTATGGTCCCAGCTGGATTCGTCTGCATATCTGGCAACCCGAGTCAGGGAGAGTGGGAGAGGACTACAGAATATTGACCGTGATTGCTGTGCCACTTTTGGCCACAAGTAAGTAAGTAATAATTATTGATATTAGACTTTAAACCGCTGTGATGACAGAAGACCGGCCGAAGATGGAAACTATAGAAGGAAACTGCTTTGATAAGATTGTGCCCCAGCTTTAAAACAGCAGAAAACATCTCCTAAAAGGATATTTGAGCTGGAAGTCCTGATAATATTGAGGCTGCGGCTAAAACTGCAGAGAACTATAACCTAAAAACAGCCCATTTTTGTGAAACGTGTCTCTTTCATGTTTTGTTCAAAGAAGATGGTGCTTTTAGAGCGAATCTAGGAAACTATCGGATCATCATCAGTATCGTTTCATGTCTAGACACGAGGATCATGCAAAGTGTCTGTTTTTGATTGCTTCTGTTGTTTTAAACCCTCTAAAGATTGACTTCCTGTCCTAAAATAGTCCATATTAGGGTCTCGCATCAGTGCATCACACTTTCCAACGAGGACAAAAGACATCGGAGAAACTTTGTTGATAATAAACAACTAAGTGCTAAAACTCACATAATCAACAATGTAACTTTTAGCACTTTCATTTAATTTTTGTGTGTACCTGTGCTGCTCTGTGTGTACCTGCGCTGCTCTGTGTGTACCTGTGCTGCTCTGTGTGTACCTGTGCTGCTCTGTGTGTACCTGTGCTTTCCTGTGCATACCTGCGCTGCTCTGTGTGTACCTGTGCTGCTTTGTGTGTACCTGCGCTGCTCTGTATGTACCTGTGCTTCCCTGTGCATACCTGTGCTGCTCTGTGTGTACTTGCGCTGCTCTGTGTGTACCTGCGCTGCTCTGTGTGTACCTGTGCTGCTCTGTGTGTATCTGCGCTGCTCTGTGTGTACCTGTGCTTCTCTGTGTGTACCTGTGCTGCTCTGTGTGTACCTGTGCTGCTCTGTGTGTACCTGCGCTGCTCTGTGTGTACCTGTGCTGCTCTGTGTGTACCTGCGCTTCTCTGTGTGTACCTGCGCTGCTCTGTGTGTATCTGCGCTGCTCTGTGTGTATCTGCGCTGCTCTGTGTGTATCTGCGCTGCTTTGTGTGTACCTGCGCTTCTCTGTGTGTACCTGCGCTGCTCTGTGCATACCTGTGCTGCTCTGTGTGTACTTGCGCTGCTCTGTGTGTACCTGCGCTGCTCTGTGTGTACCTGTGCTGCTCTGTGTGTATCTGCGCTGCTCTGTGTGTACCTGTGCTTCTCTGTGTGTACCTGTGCTGCTCTGTGTGTACCTGTGCTGCTCTGTGTGTACCTGCGCTGCTCTGTGTGTACCTGTGCTGCTCTGTGTGTACCTGCGCTTCTCTGTGTGTACCTGCGCTGCTCTGTGTGTATCTGCGCTGCTCTGTGTGTATCTGCGCTGCTCTGTGTGTATCTGCGCTGCTTTGTGTGTACCTGCGCTTCTCTGTGTGTACCTGCGCTGCTCTGTGCATACCTGTGCTGCTCTGTGTGTACCTGTGCTGCTCTGTGTGTACCTGCGCTGCTTTGTGTGTACCTGTGCTGCTTTGTGTGTACCTGTGCTGCTTTGTGTGTACTTGCGCTTCTCTGTACATACCTGTGCTGCTCTGTGTGTTCCCGGGCTGCTCTGTTTGTACCTGTGCTGCTTTGTGTGTACCTGTGCTGCTCTGTGTGTACCTGCGCTGCTCTGTGTGTACCTGCGCTGCTCTGTGTGTACCTGCGCTGCTCTGTGTGTACCTGTGCTGCTCTGTGTCCTCTGCAGCTGTACTTTAAAATGCGTGCACAGCTTTTGACAGCTGCAGCAGCACTCAGACCCACAAGCACCGCTCAAACGTAGCTGTATGTGGTTTATTCTGTTATTGTCTCAAACCCCTCTATAGATGGATGGATGGATACAAAGATAGATAGATAGACATACAAATAAGATGGAGAGCTAATTATATAAAACAGAAATGGAAGAGAGCTACTCCTATAACCGTCGTAAACAAAGTGTATTCTTTATGATAACTGGAGAATAAACCATAATAAACCATAGTAAACCATTACACAGCACAGTATCCCGGCATTAATGACAGGATTTATAGATAAAATAGATACTTACTATAACGGCTCAAAAGTCAATCATCCAGAATCATATGTTGAATTCTTGAATCCTTTTGGAGCTACAGTACCTGAGAGGGGTTGGCGAGCTATCGGTAGCTCCTGAGCCACAGGTTGGAGACTCATGTTCTAATTTTCTTTCAGCAACTCCATACACGCACGCACAAACACACACACACACACACACACACACACACACACACACACACACACACACACACACACACACACACACACACACACACACCCTTTCTATAAACAAACACATACATGAAATACACTGTTTCCAAAGAGGCCAAAAAAACCACATCTGACAAACTTTGTTGATCCCGAAGCCGCTCGCTCCAACAGAACTTGGTAATAGTTTGGAGAAATGGGTCGGAACATATTGCGTTGTGATTCCATCGGGTGTGTTTTTATCTGCGGAACGAGCCCCCCTCTTTAGATCACCATTCTCTTCATGGAATCAATTTCACAGTGCATTACGGCGGCATCCCTCGCGCCACGTCGGCTCGGATGTCATTTAGCAACGAATGATTTGTCGCGGCTCCTTCCTCTTCTTCTTCCTCGCCGCGCTGTACCTACATCTCCCCGACTTTATCACACTTACCCTCGGAAAAAATCTTTATTAGCGCATAGTCTCGGGGGGAAAAGAACGGAGAGAGAGAGAGAGAGAGAGAGCTGCCTGTGTTATTGACGGCGGATCGTTTGACAGACGCAGATATGGAAGGTTATAAATATTTCAGCAAATGACAATGGCGGCTGTTTATCCTCGGTGAAGTTGCGCATAACCGTGAGTGACTTGTTTTTGAAGAGACGCAGTGTTTTGACAGACTGGGAGACAGTGGAAGTGTGCCACCTGTGCCACGGCGCTCCGCCTGACAGCGCCTTTCGTGACTTTTCCTTCGCTTACAGGGCGACGCCTCATTTCAATATTTGCCGGTTTTGCTCGTGCAGCCATCAGAGAGGACCGCGGCGTACGGACGGGGTTATACACAAGCAAAAACAGTTGGGGAGAAATA